AGTGAAAGCAGCAAAAGCACAGTGTGGACAATTTTTTGAGTTAGAATCACTTAAATATATGAAATAAGTTAGTGCTTCTGCAATTTAAATTTAAATTTAAATCTCTCTGTTATTCACAATAACTGGGGTTTGAATTGTGTAAAAGAAAAGAAAAAAATATCCGTCCCAAATTCGATCTGGGCTTTGAGGGTCAGGAGACGGGTCATTGTGACTACAATTAAAACCATTCCCAAAAAATTTACTGTTTTCAGTTAAAATATAATTCAATTCAGTTTATTTATATAGCTGCAATTCACAACAAATGTCATCTCAAGGCACTTTACAGTTCACCAGATCATACAGTCAAATTGATTCAAAGTTTTCTATCTAAGGAAAATCAGTTGATTGCGTCGACTGTTTTACTTGAATGCAATCCCTCACACCAAGCATGCTTGTAGCAACAGTAGAGGAGAAAAACTCCCTTTTAACAAGAAGAAACCTCCAGCAGAACAAGGCTCAGTATGGCCATCTGCTGAGGCTGACTGGGGTTCAAGGAGACAGAAGCAGAGATACAAAAGGCAACTGTAAAAGGCGGCCCCGTCCAGGAAACACACAGCCAGGCAGACGAGATCCAAGCCAACTCCCATATCAGAGGACGAAGAGAGTACATCCAGCCAGTCACAGTCAGAGAAACAGGACTACACTGAAAGACAGGCCGATCTCAAAATTCTATAAACAAGGGTGTTGATGGTAGCAGCACAGCTGATATTTCTCTCCAGGATGGTGTCACAGCCAATCAGGAACAGAAGCTACTTAATAGATAGCTAGTTAATATAGATGTCTTTTATTTTATGAAAGCATAAATAAGATTAGCTGTTTTGGGGGATTTAGCCATTATTGAATACAGAAAGAAAGAACAAAGAACAGGATAAACCAGAATACTTTAACTTAATTTCAGACAAATATATGATCAAGGAAAATGCTTTAAAAGCTGAATCTGGTAAATAAGTTTAAAGTGTTTAGTGACCTCTGACCTGATTAATCCAATAACCTGGTTAGAGCTAAATTTAGTTAAGGACTTTCTGGGATGATACTGCAACCCAAAAGAATCCCAAACCAGTAGCAAAACTGAAACACAACAGCTGAAAATGAGATGGCCCAGTCAAAGTCCAGACGTCATCTTGTTTCAAAAGCTGTGGCTAAATTAATCCACAAGGATGTAAAGTACTGATTAACTTAGAAAATATAAAGCAGAAAACATAAAGTGAAGGTTGTAAAAGAGGATTCTTTCTTTCTGACTGTGATCATTAATGGTGAAGCATCCTGCTATAAAACAGGAGCGATGCAGCAAAATATAAAACAGGTAACTGAGAGGTGTATTGTACAAAAAGGTTTCCTCTACATCTGTTAAAATTAGCATAAGCTGAAGCATTTTTTTCTCCAACTCATCACATCTGTGCTAAACGTTTTTCCCAGCGGGGATACATTTTCAGGAGTGGGGGGTGTAGCACCACGCCTCAGTAAATTTTGGTACGTCTACATCCGTGCACATATGTAGTGACTAAAGATACACGCCTCAGATTTGTTTTCACAGCTGAGCGGCGAGCCAAAAAGCAGGTTCACTTTGGCTTCAGTTTCACAGTCAAGGATACTGAAGTCATTACGCTGATATTCATAACCACCAGAAATAAAACATAAGAGGAAATCACCTGCCTGAAAATCTCATAAAAATAAATCTGTATAGAAATTGACTGCATCTTTAAAATGAGAATATAAATATCTTGCAAAAGCATTCATTTCCCTTTGAGATTTCCATGTTTTGTTGCATTAAAATCCTAATTAAATTTGTTTTATTTGGGTTTTCTAAGACAGAATAACACAAAATATCCTTTCATGACTTTCGACACTTTGATGTGCATTAATCATTTCTTTCAGTGCTCTGTAGGACCTCTCCTGCAATTAAAGCTGCAAGTCTTCTGGGGTTTTATTAACAGTAAAAATTAAGTTGTGCAAAAGATTCTCAATTTGCTTTAAATTTGGACTTTAACTGTATCTTTCTGAGATTTAATTCCATTGCACACACATGTATTTATATATGTTGGGATCTGGAGTTGTTCCACCTTTCCCCAGCAGAGTGCGCCGTGGGTTCTCTGGGCTGGAGCTCACCAGCACACCTGGAGCTCGTCAGCCCATTAGAGGACCCTCTACTTAAGCAGATGCCAGACCTTTCTTCGACGCCGCAGTGTTAGCTAAGTTTGGTTAGCGAACCTGAGCCTCCTTGTCTTTAAATTTTGTCCCCTAGAGAAAACCGTATTCTAACCAGCCTTTGTCTTGTCGCTCCTAGGAAAACCTGTCTCTCGTGTGAAGCTCTGGGAGAGCTTAACCTGAATCTGCCTGCCTGCCCTAGAGAGCCAAACCTGAAGATCTCACTTATGAATCCACCTGCTGCTCTCGGAAGGAGAGCTAACCCCTCAATCCAAGGTCTTATCCAACAGTCAGAAGTAAGACGCTGCACCTGCTGAGCACTCTGTCAAACCAACAGTCTCTGGACACAACCGGTTCCCCCCCTCTGAGAAGAAAGCCTGAAACTCTACAAGGTATAATCTGCAATAATCAGAAAACTAAACAACGCTTCCTATCCACCTGGTTAACCAAGCTGTCATCTCTGCAGACGCCTGAGAATCCAGCCCGGACCTGTTTCCTGAACGCAGTCTAATTTTGTGCAAACATTTAATAAACTCTGTTAAACTTTTCATCTGTCTCCTGGTAGTGTTCTGCATGTGGGTTTGATTCAGAACCAATCATGACAATATATGTCTATGTAGATAATACAAACAATACAATCAGTATTGTTGTTGACTGAATTTATGAATTACAGTCCACAAAATCACAAACATATTTCTTCATTTATGTCTTATACAATGCATGCCTTTTTGCTAAATGGGAAAAGTAACTCCAAAATTCAGACCTCTGCTGGCCTGATAATTGTTTTCAGGGATTACTCCACATTTAGCCCAAATACATCTTCAACTCCCCTCCCAAGTTTGTCCGCCCATGCTTAGGAAAAGCACCCCCACAGCATTACACTGCTTCCACTGTGTCCTACAGCAGGTCTGGTAGGTTTAGAGTGATTTGCGCTGTTTGTTTTAGGTATTGGTTTCAAAAAGCCTTTGTCAAGTTTAAAATTAATAGCTGCCTCATCTATAGTGTTTATTTTATCACCTGAGCGTTAAATCTCTGCTTTTTTTAACTGCTTCTCTGGAATCTCCTACTTTGACATTATAAAGTTACTATATTAACCAAGAGCTGACAACAGAAATACAGTAATTTCAATTCTCAACAATATATCATGAACAAAGAGGACTAATAGAATATTATAAGTAGTTATTAGAAGTAATTAGATTTAAAGTACTAATTTTTAAACTCTTAAGAAGTAGTTTTTGTTCAATGGGGAGATTTTTCTCTGCATGTATCTAGTTTTCAATGTAATTAAGGAAAAAGAAAAAATGTTAAACCTATTTAATGTATACATTATGTAGAACCTAATTTAAACAGCAGTGATATATAAATATGTGTGTAGCTCTACGAATATGAAATGCAATCTGTAAGAAGTTAAAAACTTGTATAGTTTTAAACCTTAACCTGCATGTCGCTCCTTCACTACTTCATCTTCAACATCAGAGGAAGAACAGAATAGCAGGGATTCTGCAGTCGTTATGTATTCTTCTTTAGGTGCAATTTATATAAGAGGGCTGAAAACAAAAGTATTCCATTCTTTTCTGATTATAAACACATCCTTCCACACAGTGCTGTTATGCCCCATCCTACTCTGTTAGATGAAAATCACGCTAAAGTTTAAACACATTAATAAATAGTTTGTAAAGGTATAATATCAGGTAAAGGTAATTGGGTGTTGTACGTTTGCAGGACGATTTATATTAGAAAAAAAAACTGATTACATTATACAAAACCATGAGTTCAATATGCAAGGTAGACTTATTGTATTTACCTTTCATGAACGCTAGACGTCGCTGTTGTATCAACACTGTGTCCATAATTCTCCCCACAGTCCGCATTCTAACACATCTATTCTGATAGTAAAGTTTGGCTATGGGGATATTGTCTAATATCTCAGATGAAGATTAATCTAAACCCAAATAATAACCTAAATATGATTTTTGTTAAAAAATAGCCCCGCTTTCTATATTTCCATATTTTTTTGAATACTTAGATAAAATATGTTGGGTTATTTTCTAATGGATCAAAAGAGCGCAGGTGGTTATAAATTCTCATGCTTGCAGCAAGTCTCAGTTGAAGTGGAATCTATATCTGTACATCTACATCTGTATATGTATGATGCTGTATGAAGCTGAATGGCTGATGCATGCAGCTCTACAGGAAACTGCCACATCCTCTACATCTAGATCCCTTCTTACAGGCGGATCCCAATCAAGAGCATCAAATCTGGAAGCAGGATTCAGTCCTCTGACTGTTACCTTGGAGAAATGCTTGCTTCTCATCCAAAGCCAACAATAACAACACTTTATGGCTCACTGGGAATTTCCACAGCTGATCAGAATAATAGTGTTGATGTGGTGTGTGGTTGTGCGCGCACGGGCCAGAATTGAAACTAGTTGTTTGTTTCTGCACACCCACCCAGGTATCAGAGGCCCGTGATAAAACATGCCTGCACACTGCAGCCCCGGGGGTTGCGTGACACCAGCAGGGTGCTACTGCTCACTATGATCCTTGGAGTAAAGTAAACAATAAGGATATTTCTGATTCTTATTTTTGCACATTTTGTCTTTTTTGTTTTTTATAATCATATATCACTTTTTTTGTTATGACTTATTTTTATTTGTAGGTTTTTAACCTGATCCTAAAGTTTGGGAGTGAAAGGTGTGAACACTCACTGGCCGTCCTCTCCTGAAGGAGGGGGCTGATCTCTGTGTCCCAGGAGCGCACAGGGAGAAAAGCAGAGGAAGAAGTTCGCAGCAATTTTTGCCTCCAATCCAGAGGAGGTTTCAATAGCAGCGGCGCGGCAGGGGAGGGACGCACTGCCAGCATTCGGGATACCCGCTCGCTCTCTCACCCTCTCTCTCTCTCTGTGTCTCTCTCTCACACAAACCCACTCCTGCCCACTGGAGACCAGTTAAATCCGCAAGAAAACTGCAAACGCGCATCAGAGCGGCCGCCTAATCCGATTGATCGCTTCAGACAAGACGCGTGAAAACTGGAGGAACTAGTGGACACCAGAGAGGACAAATTGATCTTTTGATTTCCACCCCTTTTTTTTTTTCTTGAGATCGGGGTAATTTTTTATATTTATTTTAGGAGACTTTTGGCAACAAGAGGCACCATCATAAGATAGGTAAGACTATTCTAAAGGTGTTTTATTTTGTTTAATTTTCAGATGCCATCTTGCATCTGATCCAGAATTTGAAACAAAAAAGAAAAACTATTTTTTTTCTCTTTTACTTATTTTGGGGAAACTTTTCTGCAGCCGATCAGAGTCTATCGGACTTGTTGTCTGGCAATGGGAGCCAGAGAGAGAGGAGGAAAAGAGGGTTTTGCGGTTTACAGCTCCGGCTGGTTCAAAGTTTCAAATCAAGCCTCAGCTCGCATGCTGTTTTCATTTGAGTTTATCTTTTGCCTTTGGCACAGAAACACACGGTGCGGATGAGATGATGAACTTTAGAAAAATCCTCTCGCCTTTGTACCTCCCCGGGCGGACGGGTTCCCATGCTCCCAGGGGTGACCCAGCACCCAATAAAAGACGATTTATCATTACGCGCAGGATGTTTCCAAACTCCATGCGCGCTCAGTGTGGTATTCTCTCCTGTCATAACTTTTTGCAGCACAACTATTTTCCTCCTGCGCAAAACAACGAAGCAGGATGCATACATGTTAGTGTCACCTTGGCACCTTTTGCGCACCTGTGAGGGGCCAATCCTGGAAGACTAAAAGCGCTAAAAGTAGATTCACTCAACTGCTCAAATTCAACAATTAGACTTGGTGCAACAATTTGCATGTCATTTATTAAGGCGGATTTTTTCCGAGTAGAAATGTAACCTTAACTGCTGCTGAAAACCTAAGTCTAATCAACTCGAACCAATTTTAAAGTATGCATCAAGTTAGCCAATTTGTAATGCATTACATTTTTTTATCAACATGATCGATTATTATTTATAAAATTAATTTCTATTAAACTAAACTAAAACTTTTATCTTTTAATGTAAACTCAACCTTTAGAAAAACATAATATTTGCAGATTTACATCTTATTATTTGAATCAAAGTGCAAAACATCTGCGCAATCAACAGTTGACAAAACAACAGACTTGCATCAATTTTAAGCTTTTTATTCCAGGTTAATTATTTGAAACCTGAAATTCCTGATAATTTAACTTGAATGGTAAAGGATTGCTCATGCCTGCAGCAGATCTCCAATATAACTTTGCTGACTCTATAAAGGACTAAAAAGCACCTTCACTGTTTCCCCATATAGTCTGTTTTTACAGATCCTCCTGTTTTTATCCTATGTTCATATGAAAAAAAAACTAAAGGGATGCAGATTTTGTTGAAATCTAATTTAACATGGTGACATCTAAACTCTCCTCACTTAAAAAACACAGATGCGGGTCCATTAGGATTATAGAGCTCAGCTTTCTACCTGTCAGAGCCAAAGTGGAGTCACTAAGCTGGATAAAAGTGGATGCAAATTCACATTTTCACTCCAACAAAAACCACAATATTTGAGGTTTAAGCTGAACTATCCACTCAAATTGATCGCCATATTGACAATAAGAAGCCTACCTTGTTAAAAAAAGTGTTTATTTTGTATTTGTTAATATAAAAAGTGGTTAATGTTCTTACAAATTGAATACATTCTTACAGTGTTATAAAAAATGAATTGTGATCTGGGGAAAAAAATCAACTAGGAGTTGTATGGCAGTTTCTTACTTTTGCTATTACTTTATATAAACTAGTGAGGCTTATTGTTCTCTGCTGGACTCGGCCTTAATGTCTGATTGAAGCAGCTTTCTAGTTAACTAAGCTCTAACCAAAAGGTCTAGTTAGAATTTGTCCCCAAAATAAGTTAATTAATGCATTTAAAACCATTGTTGATTGTGAGTAAAATTCAAGCAATTTAAAGGGCAAACATTAAACTGCTTTTTTAAAGTTTTTTTCTTTTTTAATCACCAAGCAGTTTTTTTATATGTATATCTGCATTTCATCTTTTTTTTATTTCCATGTAATTAATAGAACTGATTCATTGCTGATCTATAACACAGTGTGTTGTGTTGGCTGTTGTTTTTCTTATCCGGTCCATTTGAGAGCCTCTCTGTTGGTGTTTAATGAGGGACATATATACCAGGGAGTGCACAGGCATTTGAATGACTGTATTTAGACGGGTGAAGACACACTGACTCCCCTTCAGCTTTCTCTGGAGAATGAATCATGAAGAGAAAAAAGGGAAAAAAAAAGTGGTGTTTTTTTTTTTTTTTGGAGGGGGGGTTGTAGTCCTAAAATGGGAAGGTCCGCGTCGCATACCGTAACTAAACCTCGATTTACATATGAAAACTCCGGGGCTGAAAGAATTCCTCCAGTGCTGCGGCTGCAGCCTCCGGCGTCCTGAGAGGTGACAGGTTTCTGCTTCTGTATATATACAGTCTCCTTTGCTTTTGTCACACACCCAGAGTCAGTGCATGCAAGTTTTTATTTCCTAGATAAATTATTCATTATATCCCATGTGTGCCTGACCCAGCTCCCCCCTCACCCCACCCCACCACTCCAGGGCACGCTCACTTTGCAAAGCCCCTTATTATTCCCCCCTCAGACGGACTGCTCGCACCAGCAGCTGAACAGGCTTTTTCCTTGCTCCACCTAGCTGCTTTCCAGTGCACAGACATCCCAGTTGCAGGACAAACTCATTCCCTCCTGATGATGGGCAGTGGGTGGATGACTTTCCCATGAGGAGGGCATTTGTCTTCTAATCTACAATCACTCTTGCAGTCACAATGCCAACACATCAGTCAGACTCCCCCCAACACTCAGTTCCTTCTGAATGGGTGTTTAAAGCCGCCCAGCCCTGCTCTGCTCTGAGGGACGTTCCAGGATGCTATATAGAAGTGAAGAGGGGAGGAGAGGGTTAGAAGAAAACTGAGCTCTGCTTTCCATGACGCTGTGGTGCCAGTTAGCGGTTCTGATCATGTGGACGCAGCTCAGAAACTCAAACTGTGAGTTATGTTGTGGATGGCGAGGTGACAGCTCCTGAGTGATGATGTAGACTTTACACAGAGGGTGGAACAGTACAGTTTGATGGTTTGGATGCTCTGCACACACACTCCAACACAAGATTAAAGTCTCCATTCTTGGCTCCAAGTCCCCACCGCAGTCTCTACCAAACCTTTAACGAGCTGTTCTCGCTGTCCAAGAGATCCAGACCTGATTTAGTTTGGCCTGTCTTTAACGCAGGTCCAGGTCCTGCAAAGCTTTTGGTTTTTGACTCTTGATCTCTCTCCTCCTGACCGGAGAAACCTTCTCTACTCCATTGCAATCCTCACATTGACCATGAAGTGACAGCGCTGATAGAACTCTGCACAGCAACCACCATAAATCTGCCCCCATGACTTCCTTTAAGAAAACACACACCCACACACATAGAGAGGCCTCTGGTCCTGTGTGGGCCCCCGCCAGGCGTCTTGTAGGGTGGAATCCGAAATGTGTCTTTATTTGTGTAAAAATTAAACTGCCTTTTATTCCCTCCCGTTTTGTTAATGAGCTCCATGTGTCAGCAGGCAGAAGGCTTATCCATATTGACAAGGAGCTGGAAGGAAAAGGAGAAAGAGGAAGGTTGGAAAAGGTTATGGGAGGAAGTCAGGGGCACATACAGCGCCAAGTAAACATTGAAAAACTGTAACATATATATATATATATATATATATATATATGTATATATATGGACCTATTAACATGAAAGTCTCATCAGATGTTGGCAGCAAACCGAGTAATCTACTCATACAAAGAAATCGAAGGAAATACGCCCATAATCCTTTTTTTTAAATAAAGTGTAATGACACAGAGACTAAAGAAAGTACAGGAAATATCTCAGAATTTAGAGAGCAAACAGTAAAAATGAAAATTTGGTTTAGTCCTCCTGGTTGACCTACAAAAATGCTTAACAATACCAAGAACTCACGCAAAAGGCATGATGGGTACAAGCAATGCTTTCTGTCAAAAACGTATAGCCTGCTATAAGCTTTTCTAAACCTAAACCATGATAATGTGAACCTTGCAAATATTCAGAAGAGTTAAAGGAACAATTGTTCTTCCAAGAATATCAAAATTGTAATAGAAAAGCTGGAAAAGTAATGTTCTTAACTGCAGGGGCTTCTATTCAATCACTGCACAAGACTCCACTGATGAAGAAAAAGCATGATGAACCTTGTTTAAAGTGTTCTGTAGTGCATTTGAAGGTTATTTTACACACATTGTTTGGAGGTAAAGTGGCTTTTTTACATCACATCATTAACATTAAAACTGTGAAGTTTTGAGGTGACATGATATTTTATGTTTTTCAGCTCTGTATCCTTATATAATTGAAGAAAGGATAAATGTTGTGATTTGATTGGACACTGAAGGAAATGAGTGTTCCCAATGAAACTCTCAAAGAGTTTTACACAGAATAAAGGTGTTAGAGTGTGAATGTGAGTTTTACCAATGTTATTACTGACATTAGCTGTGGATCCAGTAATATATTTACTGAGATGCACGTGAATGCTTTAATAATTGTCCAACCTTCACACACATTCATAGATGGATCAGGTGGATAAAAACGCTTTAGCTTTGTTGTGTGTAATTGATATCCTCCTGCTTTAATCTCTAATCTATAAAGAATAACAGAGTGGAATGTAAATCCAAAGCGTGACAGTATTGTTTAGCAGATGATTTGCTTTTCTAACGGCGCAAATCAGAGCAGGTCAAAGCTTTTAGATTCTTTTGAGGGCTTGTCATTCCTCAAAGAGCGGATGTCGAGGTCATTGTATGGCTTTTTTTCTTTGTTACTGTAGATGTTCAAAAGACAGCCATGGGAAAGAAAAGTGATGACTGAAGTGCAGCATTTGTCCTTTAATCCCATTACACGGGCTCTCTAGGTTCCAGAGTTTGGCCCATTATACACATACAAACTGTTTTTCCATCCTGAATTCCTGTCGAATCCCACAAAAAACAAAGCGAAAGCTATAAATATATAAACAAGCAGACCAAAAAGCAGCGGGGAAACAAAGTTAAACACGATTGTGGGTTAGTTTGTGTTGAAATTATTTGGTCTTCAAGATGGACTCATTCTTCTTGTGTTCTAATTAAACAGTGCGCTTTATTCCTTCCAGATGCGGCTTGTTTTAATGTGTTGTTTTGGTAGGTGAAGTGTACCACTCTGGAGTGGTGCGGACTTGCATGCTAAAACGTCTGCAGCGCGGTGACTGTGTTGACACTGCGACCCGACGCAGCTGCTCTGACATTCAGATGTCATCTCTCTGCAATATAAGGCACGCTGCGACGAAGGAGCGAGCGCTTCAGTATCTATGGGAGAGGTGTCACACACGAGGAGCACTTTGAAGACACCTATCAAATGTGCTAATGACAGGGGTGATAAAACACTTGGAATCTGAGCCTAGTGACATCAGCGTATTGGCCATAGTTGGTTCAGGAGAAGGGCTCCTCACTGTGTCTGGTTGGTGTTTAGGGATGTTGGAATGATGGGCAGCTCAGAGCAGCTATGCGCATACCGCCTCTCTGCTGTCTTGAGTATTAATAGACACGTCTTTGTTCTAAGTGACATGGTTATTTAAAAAAAAAAAAGAAGGGGAATGAGACAAGCTGAGGCGATAAGGATCTCCGCTCTCTGTGTGAGTCAAACCTCAAAGTACCACTTAGGCGGTTTTTCTTTTGGTCTCTGATGTCTGGCGGTACAACAGTAGGCTTGGCCTAGACAACAGCCAAGACCGAGACACTGACAGAAGCTGTCAAGTTTTTTTTTTTTTTCCTTGTTTGAATTGTAAGAAGAATACCTTAATGAGGAAACAAACCAGATTTTTCAACTGGAGGTTCATCCTCATCACTTCAAGTCTGCAGGTTTTTACTAATCTGCCCCGGTTTAGGGAAAAGAAACTGCAAATACTGCAAGGGAGCGATATGTATGCGTGTGTGCACAAGTGTTAAAGAGATTATTTGCTTAATGAAAAAAAAAAACCTGAGATCAACAGTAAGAGACAGACTAGGGCGGGAGTAGCAGAGAAAGGGAGAGGGAAAGGGGTCATTAAAAGGACACCATCTCACTTGCAGCAAATGGCAGTAAAGTATCTGGCTAATCTGCCATCATTACGCTGATTAAATCACAAGGGATTTGGCGTTCCCATCAACAGCAATCAATGGGGCAAAATCAATAGACAGGGGATACATGAGAGGCTCTCTGCCACGGTCAGCTGCACCTCGCCCTGAACGCTGCTCCAACTGCGGACCACGCCACCAACTGTTTTATATTGGGGTCAATAAAACTTAAACGACATGGACTGGAGGATTTTATGTTGAGGGTTTGAGAAATGTGGTTTCCAGGAGAACTAAGTGATGTCTTTTTCCTCTCACTCCTTCCCACTTTAAATATAATCCATTCTTTCTTGTAGGATGGCTGGGGTACTCGTTATCGGCCTTTATTCTGTGATCCCCACTGGGATTTAGGACTCTTATTCGAAAATGGAGATTACTTTGTCAAGAGATCTCTGTTCAGTCGAGCTGAATTATGAATACATTGTATATATATTTATATATATATATATATATATTTATATATATATACATATATACAAGGTAGCTATATATATATGGCTATATAGCTACGTTCAGTATTTATATTTATTAATATTCTAAATCTGGCTTTTCATTTGCAGTACATTGGAAATTACAGATTGATATGCCTAATGTACGTATCCCAGCAACAAAAAAATGTTCTACAACTGTTAAAAGGTGTGTTTTGATGACACATTGATTTGCTTAACAAGAACAGAACCTTTTTAACCTATTCTGGGTCTTGATATTTCTTTGTCAGCTTTATTTTTTTTATTTTTTTGAAACTGCACAGACTGATTATAGTGAAAGGATAATTTGGGTTAAATGGCATTCTTATTGTAGTTCTTATTCTTGTTTTTTTCCATTGGGGTTAAAGCGTATCTATCACACAGGAAGAATCAGTTTATCCTAATCTCATCCATAAAGTTTTTTTTGTTTGTTTTGTGAAGAATCAAAACTATGAAGTAAGTATTTAGATAAGTGTTTCCAGAGCAGATGGTTGTTTTTATCATGTTAGCCGATATCCATTATTTGATATTCACATGATACTCTCACTGTTTCAGATTGTATTTATCCTGATTATCACTGATGGGGACCCAAAATATTTGCTCACAGATGATTTACAAATAGCAGAATCTTCTTCAATACTTTTATGATTGATTGTGTTTATTAGTGGATTATTTAAGCATAGTGGCGCAACTCAAGAACCACTTCTTTTTCTTATATCAAAATAAGAGACGTAAACGTGAAAGTATATCTTTATTCTAAACATATGCATAAATCCCTTTGTGTGTTTCAGAATGAGGCAGTGTAAAGGTTGGAGTTTGGTGCTGCTGACGCTATTGGGCCTGGGATCGTGGGCCCAGAAGCTTCCTACAAGAGATGAAGAACTCTTTCAGATGCAGATCAGAGACAAAGCGCTGTTCCACGACTCATCTGTTATACCAGATGGAGCTGAGATCAGTGGATACCTCTTCAGGGACACGCCGAAAAGGTGATGATACTTTATGACTGAATGAATGAATAAACCTGCTGACATAACAGTCATAAAAAATCAGTCGGTTCCACCTTCTGCTGGTGGCTAATTCATTTAAAGAATAAAAGAAAAATATTATGTTTGTGGATGGTTTCTTCCTGGAAATAAGTAGAAAGATGAGAAGTTTGTCTTTAACAGGACCTATCAGGTTGATGCAAAAATAAATAATAGATGAGAATGTCAGCGCGCTCGAAGGGAGAGTGAACAAGGTCGACGGTATAATATTATCCCCGTGTTCTCCAGTGTTGCTGTCTTAGATGCCTTGTGGACATTGTTTGGCTAACATCAGACTATAATGAGTCCTAAATGGCAGTGTTCATATTGGGACTATTATTTCCTCAGGTACTATTTTGTGGTGGAAGAAGACAACACCCCCTTGTCTGTGACAGTGACACCTTGTGATGCTCCTCTGGAGTGGAAACTGACCCTGCAGGAGCTGCCAGAGGAGTCCAGTGGCGAAGGATCAGGTAAAACTGACATCAGGCAGCAGTGGAAGAGGTTAATGACACGTTATGTGGAAATATCACTATCCTCCACACATAATTAGCCTGCCTGGCAATGTTAGGCTTTGTGTTTTGGAGGGTTTTAATTAAGTCACACTCGTAGTGTCTAGTCTGACCACTAATGAGGCCTAGGCTCGACCCAAACTGACATCTATAATTTCAAAAGAGGGCTGTTCTCTACTCAGGCTGCTGAATCAAAGCCATTACGTCCCTTTACTTAAAACGGCTCTGCCTTCCCAGCTAAACTCCACTCCTCTCGCCTCTGTCTGCCCTCCTTTTTTTTTTTTTTGACTCACATTAAACTTAGCCCATATGGAAGCTGTCCTTTTAGCGGAGGGGGCTTTGCCAGATGACTAAACTGTGGTTTAGAATATATAGGTGTGATGTGAGATTATATTTGAATGTTAAAATACAAGCACCTGTTTGTCAGATCAAATGCTCCAAAAATAATTAATAGGCAAAATTACTGGTAAGTTTAAACAAGCCCCCTTGCAGAAGAGAAAAATCCTTTCATCCAAAGGTGAAAAATGTTGAAGAATTAGTGCTGGTTTATGTCTGGGCAAGAGTGAGTCACATAGTTTAGCTTTTTGAAATTGCATAATTGTGTACAAAAAGTTTTACAAGAATACTACTCTGATTTAGGGGCTTTCATTTTTGGAAATAAAACTACTATTATTTCCATTGCTGCTTCTCTTTAAAGTAATTTTTGTTGTACAGGTAATTTTGGTATATTAAAAAAAACAAAAACAGAAAAACAACTCTAAAATGACAAATGGAAGACATTTGTATTGGGGCATTTTTTATATATTTTTTAAATGTCTTCACAATTTTTGCCAAAACATGAATTTGGGTATTTAAATTTCCACTGAGCATCCTTTAGCTTTTTCTGTAATTGTAGCTCACCTTCTATAAATTCAGTTTATTTAACAACACTTCAAAAGAAACATAAGATCTCCAGTTGATATCAGATCATCAAAACGGAAACCAAGGAATTAAATCAATGAATTGCCTTTAGAACTCAATGATCGAACTATGTCAGGGCTAAAAACTGGGACTAGGACACAAAAATAAATTAGCAGCATTGAAAAGATCCCAGTGGTCACTACAACAGAGTGTTTGTTTTCTCTTGTGGAGATATGAAGATCCAGGACATCAACCACTGCTAACACTCTTCACCAATCAGGTATTTATGGCAGAGTAGCCAGAAAAACATAGAAGCTTGATTTAAATTTCATAAAAAGAAACTGGGATGTTGTTATACTATTAAAAACAAACTTATCTGGTTTGATGACCCAAAATGCAGAACAAATAAAGTACAGGATTGGTTTCAGAAGCCATGAATGTGTTGGAGAGGCCCATCCAGAGACAACTGAATATATGGAGAGCTCAAAAATGGCTTTTTACTGTGTTTAAACTGCCAAACTGACTGAGCTCGGAGGATATTTTCTTCCATTTACTAAACAACATGTTTTAATTAGAAAGATATATTTTACCATTGATGTTGTTACAGATAAATACGAATAAATCAAATTTAGTTGTGTCCTGAAAGTACAATGAGACTAAAGCTTCTTAATAAAACAGATCTACAAGACGGAGCGACTTACGAAACAACAAAGCTTCCCAATTGTGATCTTTACAGGTCTAGTGAAGGGATTTTCCCTAATTTTGTGAACAGAGCCACCCTCACCACTTTAAAAAAAATGCACATGCACAACCCTGTAACTTCTCCCGAGAGGGAACGCCTATTAAAAGCGTGCGAGAGCGTGCACAAGCCCATTTCTCCTCGTGCACGCTCTGTTTAAAAAATTGCTGTTTGTATCGCTCATACAAGCTTACTTTCCAAAAGAAGATTTGCCATTTTTCCATTCTTATGAACCTCTGCCATTTTTAAAAAACCATGGTAAAGAAGGCGAACTTCAAAGACTGGCTGAAATCATTGCTCACCACAAATATACTCCTGAAAGATGCGCATATGCAGAAAAGGTAGCTAATTAGGGACGAGCACATAGGACGGATAAACATTACACCTGAATGATTGATAATTAGGAGGACCACATCCAGATGATCGACCCAGAAAAAGAACATCCTCCACTATTGCTTTAAGGCTCATCGTGTGCATGTAGTTATTTAAATGTAACTTATTAAGGCACAGACACATTTAAAGCCAGCAGGTCACTGGTTTCTGATGAACAGGGTTGGAGACCATTGCTTTAGAAGACGTGATCCTTTGTTTTTTTTACCAAGTGTGGTTTGATAAAAAAATATAGACGGGGGTGCAAATACTTACCAAACTTACAGCTAATGTTTGCTGTTCTGTCAAACAGAAAAAAAAAAGTTTGACTTTGTCAAGATACAATAATGTCCAACATACTTTTGAGAAAGTTTGTATTGTAGAGAAATTTGAAAAGAAGGTAAAAGTTCACTCCTGCTACATTATATATTATTCACAATAATTTTTAAAAACTTTTTTGCAAAACTATAGAATTAGAACTTGAACAAAATGTAGTATTACTTTCAATATGCCTAGAAGGTTATGGCAGTCCAGCACCAAAGGTGCAAGAGTTAAAACTGTGACCCTCCTGACATATTTGGTCTCTGCATCCCTTTTTGCTTGCTTTCTCCAGGGAGTAGATCTTTGAGCATTAATTTTTAGCACTCCACCATGGCTACTCTGTGGTTGACAAACATAATATTATGGCTTCTGGATTAAGTCTGAATAAGAGCTCAGGCTGTCTCTCTCACGCTGGAGTTACAAGGCATCTCTTTGTGCCACAGCTCTTCATCCGTGAATGCTGGCCTGTGATCTTAGGGATGTTTGGAATGTAAACATAGTCATGATGTGAGCAAGTTAATCATCTATAAACTTCATCCCAATCTAACAACATCAAATTTATTTTGGATTAGATTGATGTTTTTGAATCAATAAAAAAAAATATTCTACTCATTTAGAGTATATACACGATGAACTGGTACAGATGCAACGTCAACGAAGAAGCTCATGTTGTATGTTTGCTTTTCTTCATTCCAGGACAGCCTGAACCACTGGACCAGCAGAAACAACAGGTGACTGTAGACGAAGGCACAGAGCTCTTTACCTACAAGGGAAACGATGTGGAGTCCTACATGGCAACCAGCACGCCCTCTGGTCTCTACCAGCTGGAGTTGCTGTCCACTGAGAAAGACAGCAACTTCAAAGTGTACACCACCACAACTCCTGAGTCTGACCAGCCATATCCGGAGCTGCCCTACGACCCCCGCGTGGACGTGACATCGCTGGGTCGCACCACTGTCACACTTGCCTGGAAGCCAACACCGACAGGCTTTCTGATGGGCCAACCTGTTCAGTACTGTGTGGTGATCAACAAGGAGCACAATTTCAAAAGCATGTGTGCTGCCGAGGCCAAAATCAGTGCAGATGATGCTTTCATGTTGGCTCCAAAGCCTGTCCGAGACTTTAGCCCCTTTGACTTTGTGCATTTTGGCTTTGTTCCCTCAGAAAATGGGTTTGGGAAGGACAGAGGCCTTACTAGCAACAAGATCTCGCGACCATATTTAGCCAAACCCAAAACGTCGGACATTCAGAAGGTGTGCATAGGCAACAAAAACATCTACACAGTGTCAAACCTTAAACCAGACACGCAGTACTACTTTGATGTGTTTGCTGTGAACTCGGCTACCAACACCAGCACAGCCTACGTGGGAACATTTGCTCGCACTAAAGAGGAAGCTCGTCAGAAGACACAGGAGCTGAAGGACGGCAAAGTGGCAGACGTTTTCATCAAGAGGAAGGGCACAAAGTTTCTACGCTTTGCTCCAGTGTCTTCCCACCAGAGGGTCACGCTTTTCGTGCACTCCTGTCTGGATGCGGTGCAGGTGCAGGTGAGGCGAGATGGAAAGCTGTTGCTATCCCAGAATGTGGAAGGGGTGCGGCAGTTCCAGCTGCGAGGAAAGCCTAAAGCCAAGTATCAGATCCGTCTGCGAGGAAGCAGGAAAGGCGCGTCTACTTTAAAGGTGCTTGCCACCACCCGGCCCAGCAGCAAGCAACCCTTCCCGTCTCTACCGGAGGACACCCGCATCAAAGCCTTTGACAAGTTGCGCACCTGCTCCTCCGTCACCGTGGCCTGGCTGGGCACGCAGGACCGCAACAAATATTGCATTTACCGTAAAGAGGTGGCCGAAAACTACGGTGAAGAGCAGCGGCGTAGGGAACAAAATCAGTGTGCCGGGCCAGAGACCCGCAGGAAGTCCGAAAAGGTCCTATGCAAGTACTTCCACAGCCCGAACCTGCAGAAAGCTGTGACCACAGAGACCATCACAGGTCTGGAGCCGGGCAAGACCTACCTGCTAGATGTTTACGTAGTGGGACACAGTGGTCACTCAGTAAGATACCAGAGCAAACTGGTGAAAACAAGGAAGTACTGCTAAACGACTCTGCAAAAAATAAATCTATTATATAAATATATATATATATATTAAATAAGTTTATTTAACACTAAGTGATATTGTACTAAGAAGTGTACACAGACTGACTACTCGTGCAGCTGATGGGCCTGTAGCAGAGACTGAGATGTTTGTAGAGAAAGAGAGAGATATCAACCTGTATATTTATGTTTACATTTTATCTCGGAAAGTCCGAGAGGCCCGAAGCGTGAGCTGCTCTTTCTACCCAGCTCGTCGCCTTGACATCATATCCAGCGGAGAGGCAGAGCTCCAGAGAAAAATCACCTTTCCTCCTGTAGGTTTCTTTGTCGCTGCATGGCGTCTGCTTTCTTCCATTTACATCCTTCAGTAAAAATCACAGGGACTGGAGGAGATCCTGCAGCTTTCTGCTTTGTATAGATCTCTCATTGCATAATCGTTTCATGTTTTAGGAGAAATTTAAATTATTTTATACTTTGTGTCTATATTTTTGATTGTCTCTTTTTATTGATGACAGTAATAACTGTTCCAGATAATTTCCAATTTTATGTGGAAGTTGTAGTTCAAGACATTCCCTTTATCAGTCTCAGCCAGTGTTTCCTCTAGAACCCATCTTGTAAAAGTATGCTGTCCCGTGCTGGAGATCTGTGTTATTATCGCTGTATCATTGTGTGTATGTGTGCGTGCGAGTGTGGGTGTGTGTCTGTCACATGTACAGAGATGTCCTGCCAATATTCATGTACATAAAGTCTAAATATAGAACGAGTAATCCCTGTGTCACCCTGGGTGTCAAGTTCTTTTCACCAACCAGTTAACATCACATCTGCAGCTCTGTGATGATCAAGCACATTGTGCTTTTTGTCAGAGACCTGGAGTATCATCACATTCTTTTCTATATAATACCTCAACTCGTACAAATATTAGATATAAAGAAATAAAAAAATCATCCTATTATAAAATCCCTATTAAAAGAAGTTTTAAAAAGCAGTGCTTGTATTTTGCATAAGAAAAGGAGATGAAATCTTTGGTATATTAACAAATGCAACGCAAAGTGTGTACAGTAACTGAATAAAAAAATGTATTTGAAATTTTTAGATTATTGTAGAATAACGCTGAGGATAGTAATAACATCCCCAATCCTTTTTTCCTGTGATTAAATATCACGACACCTAATTGGAAAAATGTATTTACACTGGAAAGAATGTTCCCAAAATATCAGTGTGATGATCTAATGATCAGAAAGTATAAAGTAAATTACTAATTAAATCTGGAAGATCTTAACTGGATTAAAAATTAACAATCTTCTGCTGGTTTCACTCTGATGAAACTTTAGAGTTTAATGCCAGGGTAAATAAGGCCAGGACCAAAGTGGACTTCTATGCTGTTGAAAAGCTCCAATCTTACACTGGTTGTAAGTGATTTGGTATTGTTTACTGACCTTATTCTTTAAGAAAACACATAAACCAAGGAATATGATATTATCAGGAAGCACCAGTCTGTTTTTTTATTTTTTATTTTTATTATACAAGTTTTTTTTTTCTTTTTTGTTTTTATATACTCTAATAATCCCAGAGGGAAATTCCTTCTCTGCATTTAACCCATCCCCTTGGGGAGCAGTGGGCTGCCATTGTGAGGCGCCCAAGGAGCAGTGTGAGGTCAAGGGTCTTGCTCAGGGACCCAGAGTGGCAGCCTGTGGGAGTGGGGGATCGAACTCACAATCTCAGAATTCAAAGCCCTATGCCCTAAGCACTAGGCTCCCCTTATGTTATGGTATCATTTAAAAAAAAAGGTGATAAAAATTCTTGTTTGCTTTGATAGTGTATATATATATATATATATATATATATATATATATATATATATATATATATATATATATATATATATATATATATATGAATCCATAAGAAAACAAGGATAAAAAAGCCCCACAAATGTATGCATCTAAGCACACAATGATAACTGGATTATAATTTAATTCTGACCTACATGCTTCTAATCAAACTGTCTACAGACCAGATATAAATAGTAAATTGACCAAAAACTTTTAGATTTCCCAGTATTCCAGCCACAGGAGGGGAAACTGGAAAGACTTACTGTCTGATAGAGCATTGGACTAAAACTCAACACGTGTGATTTGTGGAAAAAGCAAATCATTATCTTAACTTTGACATTTTCTTAGGATTGATTTACTTTCAAAGAATCTCATTTTGATGTGACATCCTTTCAGCTACAGGTAAGGGAGCAAAAAATGATAAAATCATAACAGAAGTTTACTTAAAAAAATACAAATATGTCTTTTAATATGTTCTAAGTGGCATTTAAACTCAGATATATGACTTTAACATTGTAAGACGCATCATTCTGTTGCTAAATTTACAAAGCATCTCTCAGACTTGAGGCGACACAATATAGGAAATAAAAATTTGAACATAAATCAGTTTTAAAAATAAAATGAATATCAGTTAGTTCTTCTGTGCACTGCAGTGATTACTCTATTTATAGCAACGGTATGGTCCTACATGTCTGTCTCCACTCCTTGTCAAAACCCTTCTACACACATATATACAAAACCCATGCATCAAAGCTCACCTCTCATTACTGCGGAAAAGATAAACACAGGGAATACTGCAGATGTAGGCTCTCATGTGGAAGTTTCTCTCTGTTAGTGTATTTTTTTCTTTTTTGCATGAGTGCCTGTGAGTGGATCTCCTGCAGCTTGTTGGAAAAGTGTTTCCTAACTCCTCTTGAGCTGCACTAGCAGCAATACATTTTAAAAGCTTCACAGCTGATATCCTTCACACATGCAGGAAAGTATTTGAGCAGACCCAGCCAGCTTTATTAGTGAAATACCTGTGACTCCCACAGCCCTCTGGAAGTCTCTGTGCATTATTCCAGGGCAACGACAGGTTAATGGATGCCAGGTGGGGTGTTTGTGCATTTCCTGCGAGCAGGAGCCCTCTATGATTGACAGTGAACTGTGGTGCTAAATCTGAGCGCAGCTACCCAGAAGCAAGATGGAAACATGGCATTTTTCTTTTTTAGAAACATGCTGCTTTTCTTGGCCACAACAGACAGAATGAGCTTTTCCATTCACTGTAGGCTGCTCTCTACATGTGGATATGTGCTCTAATGTTGGTCTGAACTTTCTCTTTGGAGGTCTCAGTTAAAAATGTGCAAACTCTGGATTAGTATTACAAAAGAAAGACTTCCATTAAAATCTAAAGCTTAATTTAAATCTAAAGCTCATAAGGAAAGATACAGGGTTGTTGGTCAGATATAGAACATATTTCCTAGTTTATAGCAAACTTATAAAGAGTTACTCCAGTGTGCAGATGAAGAACTTTGGTGTGCTAATTATAAGGTTTATACAGCTTGCAATAAAAATGATCAGACTTTAGCACAATAATAACATATTAATGGTAAATCTTTAGGATTAGCATCCAGATAAGTCGCAAAGACTATAGGAAATGTAACATCTGTGTTTTTAAGTAAAACATTAATTCAAACCTGTTTAAAAGCAACTCAGACTAAAAATGTTCTTATCGGTTGAGCATAATACTGTACCTCATTAGCTGCAGAAACTAACAGTCTAAGTTTGATTCATATGTGTTTCTATGTGATGTTATCTATAGGTAGAATCTGACAGACATGGCTCATAGTACCAGGTCGGTTTTGATTCCTCTCTTGTTCTTCCAAGAAAGGAGGAAACTTTTAAATGATGTGTCAGACTGCCAGTAGACCAGCATCATAAATGGATAGTGCCCTCTAGTTTTTGGAATTGTATGCAAATCTACAGACTCAGGAACAGCTGATAAAGCTGAAAGCCTCAACCAAGAAAACAGAGATCTTCCGCTAAAAGAAAAAGCATCAAACACAATGGTCTGCTGGAAAGTTCAACTGTTAATGTATACTAATGTGGCATTGATGGTTTTTCTTATTCAAACAGTTTTGAACATCCGACAGCAGAAGATGCTGAATGTGCTTGATCTGAGTGAGGGGGTAAATCTAGGTTAGCAATATCTTTCCACCTTGTGTCTGGCACTAGTGAAATGGATGCTGTAGAAGGAGGAGGGCCAACAAAGGGAGCTGGTGAACAGATGGAGGAGGATTGCAGTTTGCATGTCACTGTGGGCAACTAGATCTGGAGCTTTAAATGCCAAGTCTTGAACAACAATTGCCTAAGGTGAGGGTGAGAAGCTGTGCCCATAATCGGGAGTGGGAGCAAAGGAAGAGGCGATTAGAAGGCAGGTAAGAGTCCTTAAGTTGTTTTTGTACAACTAAAAAAACAGTCATTTATATTCTCTTTGTGGGGGCTTGGGCCAAGTCTGGTATTGGAGGGTTTCCGGTCTGGTGGCTGTTGGCGGGAAAATGGCTGAAAGAGCTGGGCTTTGTTAAACTTCCCTTCTGCTTAATGTAAAGGGGACGGACCCACATAGTATCAAATGTGTCCTTCTGCCTTGATCCCTATAGGGCTTCTGATAGTCGGGGTGAACTTGGACCTGCCTGGTTTGCTGGGGGCTCTTGATTGGTGTTGGGTGGTCTGGCTGCTGGGTTTTGACCTGTGTTGGATTAGGGGGTGGTTTGCATCTAGCTTTTCGCTGTTGGTCATTGAGACTACTACTCCTGTCTATTGCTGGCCAACCATGTCTGGTCTGTGCTGTGGAAGGGAGGTCTTTTACTTTTCTTACCTCACTCTCAAGCAAACACCACTTGGTTGCAAACTTGCATTTACCTAAACATAAAAAGACATTTATCTCCAGATATACATATGTTCACCCATTCCCACACACCAACATGCAGTCATACCAAACACTGAAGGTCATACAAAAAGAATACCATTACATTATTGTGGTCTGTCTACTTTAATGTTGGACTGAATCTGGATTTAACACATTTTTCATGCAATCATTATATTGTTAGAATTTTCTAGAGCCAAAAAATCCCTGACAAATAGGCAACCATCTGCTTTGGTATATAGGACACATTAAAAAACAAAAAACAAAAATTGTGGGGTCATAATGTATAAACATAAACAATCCCTTGTTTCTTGGGTCAATGTTTAGGCTATAGTGGTGTGGGGCGGGGGAATTGTCATCGTACACTTGGCTCCTTTCAGTAACAGTACAACATTCAACCACAGCCAATCTGAACGTATCTGCTGAGCTGATCTGTCCTTTTTTCACCAGAACTGACCCATCTTCTGATGGACACTTCCTGAAAGACAATGCAACAATTAACAAAGCTCAAAAGCACCTCAAACTGGTTTCTTAGCACAATGAATTTACTGTACTCCAATGGAAACCAGTAGATATTTATCCAATAGAGGGGGGTGTGGTCAAACTGGAAAATTTAATCCTGGATGTCCAGATAAAGAATCGTCAACTTTGCAGTGGTTATAGTATAGTACCTTTGAGGAATTTTTCTAACACCTTTTTGAATCTATGCCTTAAAGAATTAGAGCATTTCTGAAGGGAAAGGGTAAGTAAGATTGTTGCTGCAGTGGTTTGTAACACAGAAAGAAAGGATGTGTAAAGTTGAGTCATAGTGTTATTGAATATTAATCCTTATGTAATGATGTCCACCACAAATTAAGCTTTTAAACATATTTACTCAGGAAAAGCATTTAGAAAAAAAGAATTTTTTTCCTCTTCAAATTCACAGTTTGGGTGTGGATTAAAGATGGAAACCTGGCCAATCTGGCAAATTGAATAGAGCCTTAGTTTAACTATTCGCCCTGATCAAATATCTTTTGTACTTTGAATGTTTTGTGCACATGCATATAAATGTACTT